CAGCCTTTCACACTCAGCTAAAGAAAACTCTGACCTCGTTATTTTTCTCTCCCTCCCCATCCCGCTCTCCCCGTCCGCTGTCAGCTTTACGTTGCATCCTCCCATCAATAATAAAGTACCACAACCTTTTGCATGGTGGATAACCAAGAATCATGGAATCATTTCTCATCTCATCCTGGAGGGGATGTAAGGTGCACCTCATTATTCATCAACATGTCAGGGTCTGATCTAAAAACGGACAGACCATAACCATTCAATCGATGTTAGCGTTTGAATTTGTTGTGCTAGTAGAATTTTGTGGCTCTTTCAGGAGGAACTTCACTCCCGGGCGTGTTTTGTGGAAGGTATCGAAAACGAACTGAAGCGTTGTGATAGACATAATTTGCTGAATTTCATCTGAACCTGTTGTTGAACTTATCGTTAGTGTTGCCCATAATGATAGTCTCAGAAATCTTGAACATATCTGAAAGGGTTTCTGGCTCAAATACTCTGAGTAGCAGAGCTACAGCTGAGGATCCATAGCGAAGCTGAATTGAACGAAGGCCTTTTTGTTCTTCTGTAATTTCCGTCGTTAATGCGTTCCTTGGCCTTTTTGATGCCTTCCATAGTGTTTGAAAAACGGTTGCCCAACGGGAAGTAAATCGTACGCTGAGTAAGTAGAGACACAGACGGTCAACGGGCGAGTCGCAGCGCACACAGCAGTGATTTCGATTTAAACAGAATGTATTATAGTACGTTCCACATCACACAACTCAACCTGCTGCGGCTCGACCGCTGACCCGCCTGCATCTCTGCCTTTTCGCCGCGCAACGGGCCTCCTGTCGGGTACCCATAAAAAACGTAATTGCGGGGACAGGGGAATTATTTGTGCGAGAATAACTCTAGCCTTTCCATTGTGGCCGCCTGGCATTGCAAAACTGGAGCGGCTTCGAAGGCTAACCCTCCGGCGAAAGAGCAACACATAGCGAAGCAAAAGTAACACATGGTGCAAAATAGCACTTATCGTGTTGGCTTCTAGCCGACGATGTTTAACAACACGAGGATAATTGGGAGTAAGTCTATAACATTTTAAAGCAATTTTAGTGAAGGAATGAATATAACGGAAATGTCACGTTAGAGCGTTATTTGCCACGCCAGTAAACAACTTATAACGGCTCTGGTCCATGTCAGGTGCTGATATTCTTGCCTTCCTTGACATTCTCTCCATAGGTGATATAGCCAAAGAAACCACATCCAGCATACACAACGGTTACCTGCAAGTGTTTCTGACTGATACTTCTTATCAATTATAGAGCTGAGAAGTTCTGTTGACTTTTTTGTTGGATCACTAGTTTAGAATTTTGCTTATCTTCATTTCAGTACATGTCTGATTTTTTCTAACTTCACTAAGAGAGCGCAGTTCCAAATCAGACTTGCTACTCACAGCATCTTTTATATACTATTCATAATATTAACTATCTCCTCCACACAAGTGGATACGTGTAGGCGAAGCAGGGAGGCTACGTGATTATGATTCTCCCATCCAACAAGGAGATATTCGCGAGGCGAACACGCCTTCAAAAAACGGTTCTTGACCAATTGTAGGGATGCATTCAGTAGGCCACAAAAAAGCCTGTTCATCCCAACTGCTATTACTACCAAAGTTGGAAAAGATAGTGGTAAATGTTCGATCCCCGTGGCCGACTAAATTTTTCTCTAGCTTCGCGCTTACGGCTTGGTGTTAAATGGCACTAAAAGTCAAAATCAGATGTCATACTCATAGTTCCAACAAGCTGCCGCCAGCTTTGAATGCAAAATTCGGACGCCACCGGAAATGGAACCATCAACAGTATCCTGCACTACTTTTCTGATACTACTAGAACCATTTAGTGAGAACAAAACATGGTTTTGTGGTTCATACAGATGTTTCTGCAGTACGCAGCAATATGCAGGAACCGTTCTAAAAAAGCGCGGTTTGCACTGAAAGACTACTCTTGTAAGAACAGCCTTTTTTTAGAATTTTTTTTAATTTGAAAATATATAAGAAATGATCGAATCGATAAAAAATACCAAAACGATTCCTGTCGTTAGTACTCCTACCCAGCCTCGCATTTCACTTGGATGTTTCATTTTGTTCTCCAGCGGAAGTATCTGAATTTGCCTATGAGCTGATTATGACTATTACGTCAACAAAAATTACGGTGTCTATTGCAACAAAGGGAGGAGCATGTTGTGCGACAGCTTTTGCCCCCTGCAGTAATTCCAATTTTTGCAAGGGAAAAGCTACGTGCTAGACGTGAAAGTGAAAGCAACATAGTTCTTGCCTCCCTCCCCCCGGATATTCCTTCACTGCAAAAACTGGAATTTCTGTAAGCGGCAAGAGCTGCCGCAATGAATGCCACCACTCCGTTCATTGGACTAGACCCAATATTCATTTTGAGTGCTCTAACTTGTGCAGTAGAAGGTGGAATCGGGATTACCATTCAAGGAGTGCTTCACAAGCCCTGAGAGCCCGGTATGAGCACTTTTGCTCAATAACAAGACTTCAGCAAAGACCATAAAGAAGCCGATACCTTGTTCTACCACCGTATCTGCTGCTACCGTATGCTATTTGGTTTACTTACGAGTGCCTGTCCTTCAAAGGAATAAATCACTGCTCCTGTAGCCATTACTACTCCACTCGAGTCAGTGAACCATGGAATTTCGTTGATGAAATGCTTGGCGGTCAGTAATTCCTGTAATCAACCTAAGTAAGCAATTACGGTGACAACCTTCCCGACATCCATCATTTCTAGAATGGGCATAGCTTGTCATGAAGAGATTAGTCACATCTTCGGCTTCTCCATGACTCACCGCAATTCAAAATTGAGGGTTTCTCCAGTTCATAATGAACACCGCTCAGTGAGAACAATCAGAATTTGGTCTGAAGGGCGATGCAGGTTTCCCGATCAAATGTTTATACCGAAATATCAAACTTTCTCACAATACTCCTTCCGAACACTAAACAGCGTTAGTTCCGTCACTACTCACTGATGGCAGAAAAGTAGAAGAGGGGTCGATTTCCGACGTTAATCCAGAGCTTGGTGTTACACTCATGCGAAATAGTTAACTGCACCGATTACCAACGGAATCAAGCCAAACTCACAGAGAAAATGATAACAATTGAAAGCAGCATGCAGAGATTCCCGGCCAGGCTAATGTAGGACATGAGGCGCATGCTTCTGAACAGTAACAGATCACTATTGGTAAGAACTTCCTTCCCGAGAGAATTTCAACTTTGGTAGCATTCCCATTTATACCGAGTCCTGTCCTTTTCCCTGCACATGATCACATTTTGTTGGACTCCACTCTTAAATCTTTCCACGGACCATGGACCAGTGGGCGGGACCGGAAGTTTTTGTGACGAAATGCATGGTAGGTACGGATCCACGTGTCGAACGCACGAACGTGAACAGGATTCACTTCAAACCTTCCCATGAACGTGGATCCGTACCTACCATGCATTTCGTCGCAAAACCACTTCCGGTCCCGCCCACTGGTCCATGGTCCGTGGAAGATTCCTTTAATTTTGAACAATATAGATACCCTGCTGCTGACGCCTACATTCAGTGGGGGGGGGACAATTGAATTTTGTTTATTTTAGTATTCTAATGTATTCAGTCCACTTCTTATAAGCAAACCGAAGCTTTCAACTAAAAACGTGAAGGAGCCACCTCGTTTCATCAAACTTCATAGTGGCCTTTCGAGGGTACTGTGTGTGGAAAAGTTTTAATGTCTTTTGCAGGTAAAGTGTCAAGTCGGGGTCCTCGACGGAGCGTGTACCATACGACGATCTCTGAGGAGCGGGTTCCAAGGGGGCCTACACAGGAAATTACCCGAGAGTCCACCAATCTAGAGATATGGAAGAGCTCTGAGCTGGAACAGTTACGGTAAGTTTCCTAAGGCTCGATGACGACGGCATATGACATCATATTCTGGAAGACGGTGAGGACAATGAAGGTAAGGTTGCGTCGCTAATCGAGATACATATGAGGAATATTCTGCCGAAGCGCTTTAGTCACCGACGAGATCTTTGCGACGAAAAAAGGCCGAAATGCGACATGAGTTGAATGTCTCTTTTTGGCCCATGTATGTACTGGGGAGTTGCATTGAAGCCACGAGTCGAGATTAGGCGTCAAGAGCTTTGTTGGCGTCAGAGTGAAAAGAGGGATCTTCAAGAGCACGATACTGTTGCGACTCAAATTGCAAGCAAACTCTAACAAGGAAGGTCTTTCAGGGTGTGCCAAGCTTTTTCAAAACGGTCTTTTGCATGATATAGAGGCACATGCGGGAACCACAGAACCATGGTTAATTTTTCCTGAACGGCCCTCTGAATACCAGAAAAGGGGGTCCCTAGTCACACCTTTTTCACCAGTTTTTCAATCAAAGTCTATTTGTAAGGGTTACTGACGTTCCTAATCATGAATTTGGTACTAATTATTCATGCTAACTCCATTTTGCGCGAATTTGGAAACGTCAACACGAAATGCAAAAACTTGTCACCACGAGGAATCGAACTAGGGACCCTTTTCTGGTATTCAGAGAGCCGTTCAGGAAAAAATGAACCATGCTTCTGTGGTCCCCATATGTGCCATCCTTATCTACCACGGCATACGGGGTCTCTGTACCTTCTCGCATACACGTGCTATCTCACGTTTCCACTCTCTCGCAGCACTATGTCTCTCCATCACACCACGGTCGGCCTCATAATGGAACATTTAGCGTCTCTGTGATGATTTTTGCTTTTTCGTTCCACTAATGTTCCTCAAGGGCGGAAGTGGTGTAGTGACAAGTGGCGCGCTCACCACGCGAGCGGTCCGGGATCAAATCCTGGGTCGTGAGTCGCCCGGGCCAACCAAGCCTTCCATCCCTCCGGGGTCGGTTAATTGGTACCAGACTTGTCTGGGAGAGGATAAAAACACTGACTTGAATCGGCTGGCCCCCGCAAGTCATTGTATAGGCCACATCGCATTCAAATGCGAATGTACAAATGGAAGTAGAATGCGTGCCGCATCCCAAAAAGGGATTGATCAACGGCAAATGCTTTATCCTTTATCCTTATTTCTCAATGCTACTCCTTACCTAATTTAAAACCAAGTAATGCACCAATTCAATCCCGACTCGTGCCTTTAATTTCTACCGCTCAATATAGGCAGCAAACTTTCGACGTTTAATTATCTCCAGGTGCTGATTGACAAACTATTATATTGTGCGTTTAATAAAATAAGTTAATAGGATGAAAGAGCTGAAGAAAGAACACAAACGATAAATCACCGAATGCTACAGCATTTTACTACATTTTTTTTAGCGTATGTCTTGAACGTGCCTACGTTACACAAATGTCAAGATTATGACCCCCCCCTATCCTATGTTCCTTTTACTGAGCTAACCTTGTGTCACACCATCGGTTTCACTTTCTGATGGCGTTTCGAAATAAGAAAATCTCTTTTTCTAAATCCTAATTATGAACGCACTCTGGGGAATGGCAATGCATGTTTACAATATTTCCCCCACGGCTCATTCCAAGAATGGTGAAATTGTAAATAAGTAGTGTTTATTCGTCGCCCAGGGGAAGCTCATGTCTGGCTATAGTAGTCGTATCCGTACGATACATATACAGATATAATGCGGGCTCAAAATCTAGTATATTATTATATAAGCGTCAAGAGAAAACGATAGGCTTTCCTGGTTCCCCTGGCCGTGAGGAACTTGGCTCAGGAAAACCGACCTAATCTAATTTTGATTGACCATACTTTTGGCGATTTGCGTTCAATAATTTTTCCGTGTATGAGCTTCATGATGAAATAAGTTAATATGCTGAGGAACACATCAGGACCTTCAGCCAGCGATTCAGAAGGTTAAGTGCGCAAAGGGATAATTAAGTAGGAATCAAAATGATAAACAACCAAACCCAACGATTTTGCCTTGCGACAATTTTAAGAAGAACCTTGCAAGGAGCGCGGTAGGCAAGATCAGCGCTACGTTTGCCCCAGTCTTTGCTACTGATCGGGCACCGAGCTATTGGCTCAATAGCATACGCAAAGGCGATAGGAGCTGCAAAGTTCGACCTCATCACGGACCCCTCATTTTTTTCGATGAGGACCGCTTGCGCGCTACGAATAGGAAGTGCTCGCAGGAAACTGTAGCAAACATCTGGGCGCAGCCTGACGCTCCATGAGTCGACACCTGAATGGAATGGACTGTAGCAGAATGAAGTCTCGATGGAAACAGCATGCATGGACTGACCATGACCGAGAAGCACGCCTGACCATCTGCAGAAGTTTCATTCTGCGACCGTATAGACAAGACATTCCCTGGTTGGTCACCAGTGCAGATGAGTCATGAGTCCCACGATAACAACACGCGGCTCGCCCGGTGGCTACCTCGCAGCCTGGACGCAGCACATCAACCAAAACCCGAGCTGTTTCATCAGAGGGTGTGACCCCCGTTTTGTTGGATTCGCTGGGTATCCCGTTTTGAGAACCATTTCACTTTATGCAGACAAGCACTTGCGAAGGTAACCATGGAATAGCTTCCAAAGTTGCCCGCAGCAGTGAGGGAGGACGGTTGGAAAAGTCTCAAAATCTCCTTTATCCGAGGACCGCCCGAAATCACATTGCAAAGATAACTCGCCACGTTTCGAAGGAAACTGGCTGGACCACGACACCACATCTATCGTATAGCCCTTACGTTGCTCCATCGTACTATCACCTCCTCAGCCCCTGAAGCAGCAGCTAGGAGAGGAAAAAGTCAGTAAATACAACCACCCCAAAACGACCTCTTCGAGCTTTTCATCTCACAGCTTCTCTCGTTCTGGGAGGAATGCATCCATTCGTTCCCTAGCAAATGGGTGCATATCAGTGATTATGATGGTGGTTATGTTTTTGATCAATTGTTCTTTAGGAAAGATAAAACTTGAATAAATCAAAGTGTTGAAATTCGGCCAGAAATTATGGATCAACCCAATATTTGCAACCCTTCCCACGCGGAGGTCGCGCAGTTCAAAGGAGTTTTGTGTTTTGCCTTCTCCGTTGTTCTACTCCGCAAAAAGTTTCCGCGGAAGCAGCTTGCCCCTGGTTCCAGAATTCCTCTCCTTGCATTACGCAGAATGAATGAAAAAACGCCCTGCTAAGTAATGATCTCATTATGTTTATTCTCTCGAGAATAGTGATGTCCATTCAAAACATAATTATTCCGCGGTCTAGTATAAGGAATGGCGATCTCTCACCTCACAAACGATAGCAGCATAAATGGCACAATAGCAAGGATTAGGTAGAGAAGTTTGCTCAACTGTACTTGCGGCCAAATGTGGCTGATAACCTGAAATAATTCACACAAATTTGTAACATTTTGCTTGACCTTTTCCGTCTTTCTCGCCGGTCTCGAAGAGGATTTCAGAATACTTGTGTAGTTATAGTCACAAATAGCCTGCTCTCACCAACAAGTCTAATGGTGAGAACGAAACCTTTAAAGCAATAATCCAGGAGCGAATTTAAAAGACCAAAAATCAAGAATCCAAACGAATTTGCGGGCTAAAAGCACCTATATTGAAGTTGTAGGTGAAAAGTGGGCGAATAGAAAAAGAAAAGTGAGGAAAGCGCCTAACTGGGGCTTAGACAGGGGCACCCCCTCTGCCGTTCAGCGATGGGGGAAGACGTGTGTTGGACGAGTTGTCCAAATCTGCTCGCAGTAATGCGCTTCAATTGCGATTGCTTGCAAATACTTGGCTGATTGCTAGCAACTGTAATTG